TGGATAGAATATTTATATAATGCAAGGTATATCTGCGGATGATTTGACCCCTAGCATTTCTATTGTTACATAAATACGTCAAAAATATTTGAATAGTTTTGGGGGGTTTTCAAGGAAATGTTGAAAAGATTGTGAAATATAAACAAAACCGGTTTGTAAAAAAAACAATATTCAGAACTTAAATAAGCTAAAATGTGAACTAGATATTCATCCAAATGTCTTTACTTCCTCCTTGCTGTTCAGTCTCCATCCAACTTATATGTGGCATGCAAACCAAAATGCAACTTTGCACAGTCATCTAACCATGAGGGCCTCAATCTAATATTTTTTGGATAAGCTTTTCAAATGATTTATCTACAGAACATGCCGTTAAAGTATATGGGAATATTTGTAGACAAATCATTTGACAAGCTTAATCAAAACATTAAATCAAGGCCAATACTCATGTGCTAGTATCAAGGTTTTGCATTGTATTGTTTCGTTGTACCAGGACATCTGGGTATACAATGGAAATTGTTTTTGGGGGCTGTTTGTTTTTTTGGTTTGATTTTATTGTATTTGTAAACAAGCACACAATAAATTGATGGGAAAACTCACTGCCACAGTCCATAACACGCTCAAGTAATTTACTAAATTTTGGGACCCCTGGGAGACTTACGCCTCTTGAGGCAATGTATAGGGTGTCATCTGTTGCATCTCGCAGTGGGTTTTTTCTTTTCTTTTTTTTTTTCCTCCCCTTTCTTCTTTTTTCTTTATAAGTTTTTTGTTCCCATAAGGATCCCGTTTTAATATATATTTTACTTGTTATTCTGGGGATTGTATTACAGTGCTCTTTTGTACATGAAATTGTTCTAGTCAACTGTCTCTTGTGTTTTATGTTGTGTTTTAAAACTCTGTTGGGCATATTACTTTCACACTTGGTGTCCTGGACCTTTAGACCAAAGAATTCAAATTAGAAAATGATTACCTCAACTCTTAAAACATTACTTCAGCTATTTTACCCAAACATTTTCATTACCTGTTGAAACCCTAACAGTTTATGGTTCAGGTAGTAATATTTTGTTTGAGAACCACATTATTAACCATAATGTGATCTCCATGTATCATATACAAATTGAATAGTGAACATACTGTTTAATATGCTCTTACCAAAGAAATCACATATTGTCAAGTCTGACCTGGGATTTAAATCCTCTCAAAGTCCCAGCCATATCAATGCAACCCACATCTTTGGATAGAACTCTTTACAAACTAAGCTGCTTACTTACTCTCTCTCAAAAAAAAAAAATATTTTTTGTGGTGCCATGGTAGAAACATTGTGGCATCGTCTTTTGCTCGATTTCATGTCCACATGACGCTTTGGAGATACCAAGTTTGACTGGACATCCAATTTGCTCAAATTCAGCTAAATTGCACAGATCTAATTTAAAAAAACAATTAGTTTCTTGAGAAAATAAGTGGTAAACCATATACAGATGATCACCTGGCTGGGTGGGGATTGTAACTCATAATCACCACTCAAAGATAGGGTTGTCAAAAGTAAATAGCAGACAGATTTCTACTGACGTCCTAAAAAACCTACAATGATTTTATTGAGCTACGGCACTCTTTCCACTATTCTCTTTTGAACTTCGAAAGGTCTGAGACACACAAGTAATAAATTGGACTTTTTGTTAACCTAATGCAGATAATATATATATAGCATCTCTCTTCATTTACCTGCTTTGGACAGTTCAGCCATCAATGTATTTTTCCATTTCTGATAAGGGCTTTGTGATATGATCTAATGTGGGAAGCTGCATTATGGCTCTGATATATTATACAGCAGTATTAATGCTAAGTGTCTTTTAGTCACCTTAATAATACATCATTAAGGTGTCTAAAATACACTTTGCATTATTACATAAAGTAGTTATGATGGCTGTATTATACTGTATGAAACAATTTTTGGTCCTATTCATAAACAATAGAGAAAAATTTACTTACCATGAAATGCAATTAGCTTGTCCACAATACTACTACTACTAATATCCAACCACAATTCTCCATACCAGTGTCCCTCTTTTCTCTGAGCTCCGATGTTTTTGGGTATTAGTATAACACACTGTGTATATAATCAAACAGAAATGATTTTACAGTAATCATTAAAAAAAACATGGCTTTAATTAAGTGTTCTTGCATGTTATCTCACATAAATATTATTATTCTTATTATTCTTATTATAGCCAAATTTACCACCCTAACTCCTCCCACAGTTTTTACACTATATAGACCATAATATACCGCGCGGATTGTTCCCGATTGGTGTGCTATTACTGTGTGGAACGTTTCGCCAAATGGTTCACGGTCGTTCTTGTGGCGAAATTGGTCCATAGGAATGAATGGCAAAATGTTCAAAACTAGAGTGGGAGCTGGCAAAAGCTGAAAAATCAGGACATGATTTCTAAACTGCCACCACTCCCTCATTTTCAAGCCCACCTACACAAATCTTATATTAAAATGTTCAGCTATCCCTGCTGCCTCTAAAAATGTCTATGGCTAAGCCATAGTCCTGATAGTTTTCACAATATGACCATTTGTTTGCAAATCACGCCGTCCATTGACATTCATTGAAACTCCACTCTAGCCAGCTAAAATTTGAAGGCCAATTTCTAAACTGCGACTGTGCCTTCATTTTTTATATTTCAGAGACATACTATGCATCAAAATGTAGGTCTGGGTCTTGTAATTCTCACAATATAAAGCTCTTCGCTGTAGGATTTATAGTTTTTACAATACGACCGTTTGAAGATGTCAACCGCCAAAATACTCTGACCTGTGCCAGGCTGGAGCAGCAAGTGATGTCATAGACAGGACCTTTTGTACACCTACTAATGTTTTTATAAATGTATGTTTTAATGTAACTGTGAAGCACTTTGGGCAACAACGTTGCAATTAAATGTGCTATATAAATGATAACAGTTACTCTGCCCACTCCAGTTGTAGACTGCTGGTGGAGGCAAGAACACTTCACACAATTTCCCCAGAAATTGTAGCTTTTCTAGTATTTAATGTGGTGTTGCTGTAAAGCACTTTCTTTATCTGAAGTGGTAATGACCAGAGTTAAATACATCCCAGCTCTTTCTCTCTACAAGGGGAAAAAATGCTATTACCAAGATCTTCCAATTCTTCTTTTCTACCCTGGGTATCTAGCTTACAGCACACCTGTAATGATACCTATAGCATATGCTTTTTGAGAGCATAACATTTCATTTATTCATTGTGCTAGCAGATTTGTTGGCAAATGTATAGATTGGGAGGCAAAAAAAATATATAAAACCTATTTCTCTCACCTGACAGTCATTCAGTCTATTTCAATGCAATCTCTGACAAGAATCCACAGATGGTCCATCTACTCTACAAGCATGCACTATTGAAGCTCCTAGCACAGGCTAGGGCAGAGGTTGCAACCTTTAGTACTACAAATGTAATAGATTACATTGGCAGCCTGGGAGGAAGTCAGTGTCGGTCACTTCCTTTCAGCTGCATAGAGAGAGCGTTGCATGGGAGGCATGGTAGATGAGGTGGCACAGGCAGCATGGGAAGAGAGAACACTCCCACCAGCCTTAGTCAGCACCGCAAGCAAGCCACCCTCTTGCACACAAAAATTATGCTAACAGGAGGGTGGCTGCAAATATGAAAATCCTAAATGTATGTATCTGTGTATGTCAATTTGTGTGTGTGTGTGTGTGTACGCGTGTGTATCTGTGTGTCAGTGTGTGTATTTGTCAGTGTGTACCTGTGTGTCAGTGTGTGTTTGTATGTGTATCTGTGTGTCATGGTGTGTGTATGTGTCAGTGTAAGTATCTGTATTTCAAGATGTGTGTATATGTCAAGGTCTGCATATGTGTCAATGTGTGTATCTGAGTGTGTGAATGAATCTGTGTGTATGTATATTTCTGTAAGTGTGTATGCATGTGTTAGTGTTTGTGCATACATCTAAGCAATCAAACACCAACACAACATGCAAACACACTGGCAATTAAACAAAAATATAACATACAAATACATCCCTTTATTCAAACATCCATATTTAAAATCCAACACTACATGCAAACACACCCTTGCAACCAAACCTAAACACTACTTACAAACACACCTCTGCAATCAAACACAAACGTTCCTGTATTAAAACACTAAACTTATATACAAACACTAACGCATTTAAACACCAACACTACACAGAAAATCATACCTTCTTTTAAACACAAACACTACACACAAGTACACCACTGCATTTCAATGACAAAAGTACATACACCCCTTCATGCACACACAAACATTCAAATGCACAAACGCTGCTCACAAAAACAAATCTTTAGTGATGGGCAAATGGTAGATCTCCAGCTGGTATAGAATCGTGGGAGTGACATGACAGATGGAGATCTACCTTTTGGCCATTCTTGCACTTGAGGGGTCTCAACTAAAATCTTTGCACCAATACCCTTTCTAAATTAGTTCCGCCACTGGCCTTGCCATTTCTGAAAAGTGGAACAGTTTTTTTAATATTGTGTATACTCTTCTTTTTTAACAAACATGTATTTGTTAGATGTAAAAAATAAAATGAAATGTAGAAATTCACACCTTTTAATCCTGCAACGGGGCATCTCCATTGTAACTTCCTGTCAGTCATTGTTATAAACTGTGTCCATTGCACCTGGCAGTATGAATAGAGAAAGCTTATGGAGAAGAGGAGAAATCAAACAATGATTCTATTTCTCTTCTTCATTTGCAATGTTTGTCCTGACTTTGCCTTATTCGAACTCTATTATGAAGTAATTTGCTAAATATTTAATAGAAATCAAAAAGTAAGCAGAATATCTCTTAAAGGGACACCGTAGGCACTGTATCTGCTTCATCTCATTAAACTGGTTATAGTGTCTGGAGTCCCATGGTACCACCATTTATTTTAACATTAAACAGTTTTTAATGTTTTAAGGTTTTAATGCTAAACAAAAGTCCTTGGCAGTCCATCCCCTCTGTGCTGCTTTGGCTAATAAGGAAGTATTACCCTGAGCAGCAATGGGCAGCTGTGATTGGCTGAGAGTGTCAGCTGACTGCTTTTAGCCTGTCAGAGCTCCAACTGACGGTATGAATGGGTATGACAACAAGGAAGTGTGTAATCTCTGCCTTAGCTACACGTACAGAAGGGGCCGGATTGTGGGTGGCCAGGGACTCTTATTTTGTGGCATACTGCACAAACATGGTGCAACACTGAATGGAGTGACAGTGCCAGGGTACTCCAGTCACTGTAACCAATTCAAAGAGATGAAATGTTTATAGTGACTACAGTGTCCCTTTAAATAAAGGGCAACACAAGCTATAGGCAATTGTCAACATATTATTTAAAACTGTATGTCTATAGTTTCCCTTTAATCCAACGCTGATAGCATCAACAATAAAACTGTTCATTAACGTGATTTCACTTTTAGAGTTGCTCCATTTTCGAATTATGGAGGGATCAAATTGGAACAATATTTTTTTAGAATTCCCTTTTTTTTTTTGCAATACATTTATAACTACTCACTGTCAGGGGGATAAACATAAGAATACATAGGGCATCTACAGGCAAAAAAATAACTGAAGACAGATGTGACAATAAAGAAACCTTAAGTATTTGAATTTGAATGTATATGAGAAGAGAGATGCTTTGCAGATCAATACTTCGCTTGAGTACCTACAATCAGAGGGCAGTATTACTAACCTGTTAATATTCCATTAAGCATTTATGTAGATCTTGACATAATCAATTAGAAATGTTAAGTGTTGTGACTTTGCACACTGTCTTTGAAAAGTGCCTTTAACTGACTAAAAAGACATCTACATATGTATCTTAATACCAGGTGAAGGATTACAATATTCCACCTGGGATTTAAATTGTCATGCTATACCAATGTGTTGTCTGTCATAAAAGCTTAGTCTGGCATTTAAAGATTCCTGTTCAACAATGTACTTAAAAGTTAAAAGTGCGCTGTCTAACTCCATATCAACACTACTGTAAGTCAATATTGAAGCAAACAGATTGCAAACTGTATGGAGAATGTAATTTTTGACAAGCAAGTTTAAAGACAACAAAGAAATCCTTTTAAGATGTCATTGTGTTCTGTTAAGAAAACGTGTCTTTTATCACTTAACTTGAAGGGAAAAAAAAAATCCTGATGTATGGTTTCCAAGAAAAATATCACCTTAACACATAAAGAGGAGAATTTAAACCTTTTCACTATCTTAATCCACACATACTCTCAGGATATTCGATACCTATATTCACATGATTTGTGCTCTTTTGTATTTAAACGGCGTGCTGAGCAGCACAACCCTAATACCCATCGGAGTCAAACTGACATCTGTAAATACAGCAAATTAACCCAACTTATCCAAGAAATCATTTCACGCAAATAAAAATAACTTTAGCTAGCTTGAACCACGCAATTATATTTCATAATGTTCACATTGCATATTGAAATAGACATTAACAGGGTTATTTAATAAAGTGAGAATTTAAAGTGAATTTTAAATGTAAGGCCAGAGTAACCGAACTGAATGCAGAGCGGAATTAGAGAATTTTTCCAATTCGGTTATGCTGTGCTTAAATTTGAAATTCACTTGGAATTTGTTGTCATTTCTCACTTTAGTAAAAAGTTCCAGCGTAAAGCCTTAAATGTTGCAACGATATAAGATACACCAGACCAGCCCTATGTTCTTCAGAGGGAAAGTGATAATCCACTGTCATTTCTATACCAACAGCGAGATTGCACACTCATTATCAGTCGGTCAATTTGAAGGCTTAGCATCAGCCGATAAAAGTAGAGACAGGATTGGAACAAGTCACTATGCTCTTCCCATAGAGAATAATTTGAGCTATTAGCAACTATTTTTTTAGTAGCGGCAGCCAGTAACTTCTTGTCACTATTTGTATAATTAGCACACGTTAAACAGCCTCTTCTTGCTAAATGCAGTAATAGGAACGTTAAGGGACACTATGGGCACCAAGACCACTTTGGCTCATTAAAGGGGTCTGGTGCAATGTCCCTGTCCCCTTAAGCCTATAATTGTAATTATTGCAGTTTCTGAGTAATTGCAAAAATTACATTGCTCAGCTAAGACTTCCTCTAGTGGCTGTCAATCAGACAGCCTATATAGGCACTTTCTAGTGGTTATGGGACTTCTGGTCCCTAACTGGCGCTGGACATCCTCACATGAGGACGTGAGGACATCCAGCATCCTCAAATACTTTACTATGTGGACTGTGTAAGGAGCTTGCGGCATTCGTAGCACATGAGCATTAACCCCCCTCCCCACTTGTTGGTTGACGTCATAGGGTGCTGGGATAAGGTAAGTACAGTAAGTGTATTTTAACCTCTACTCTCCCAGGGAGATATGGGGTTGGGGCATGAAGGGGCTATATTGCTAGGAATAAAGCTTTTTTTTTTTTATTCCTAGCACTATAGTATCACTTTAGCAGGTATTGGCTGTTAAAAAGTAGCGACAGGTATCAAGATACGCCTGCTCTAAGATTTCTGGTGTAAATATATGCAATTTCCAAACGTAAGTTGCTTTGTCTATCTAATACCATTCCCCGTTGCTTTTTATATGGTTCTCTATTTTTCAACTTTTGTGCCAGTATAATTGATTGGATATGGTCACTAGCAAATGTTATTTCATTGATTTTGTGTATTTTCCATTGCTGTCTTGAAGTATTCACAATGCGCTACAACATATAGCAGTTTTAGAAATTTGTACAGAATACTCTAAAATAAACAAAGATGTCAAAGATCAGAACAGATGAGATTAGATTATTTCACAGTTGTGATTTCTTTATCTGCCTGTTTTGGTGAGGAAAGTCAAGGGACACGACCAATGATGGGACAAATCACAAAATAAATACAAACATGAACATGAGGTATACAAACTATATACACTGCTCTGGAGTACAGAACGGCAATTCCCTTCAGGTGTAGCTAAATGATGCTTTCTTGGGTAACATATAAATCACTTTAACAGTCAAAGAATTGATCCTCTTACACAAAAGACAAAAACATTCTGATTATCACTATAATAACTTTTCTTTCATTATTAGAAATCTCAGCAGTCTGTTTGAAATAGCACACCATCAAAGGATTGAAAAATATACTGGAAAAAATTACATGCGTGTGCTTTTTATCTAAGTAATATCTTAGTGTTATTGTGGCTAACATACACCATGCCAATACAGACGCCATAACCTTTACAGCAAGCTGTAGTGGTTATGGTTCTTGGTGTGTTCCTTTTAACTAATTTGTTTATATTTTGTACTGAAATATTATTAATCTAACTGCTATAGGTTTAGAAAAAACACCTCAATGTTGACCATCTATATATTTCCTCACAGGACAAGATGTAGTTTTTGTGATAGAAAATGGGAAATATGCATATTTTGACCCATTTTAATGCTAAGTATTCTGCTTGTAAACATAGATGGTACCCTCACATCTAATAACTTATTGATGCATATGGTCATCATGTGTGGATATTTTGTTTACTCCCTAGTGGCTGGCTCTTCGGATACGCATATATTTAGTTTATAAATCACCAATATTTATGTGTAACATATCTCCTCAACATCTTCTCATGGCTCGTTGTATATGATGTATCTTTTTTGATGTGGGGTTAAACTCTATCGCAATCCTAATGTCTCTCCTTTGCTATGTGTCTTTCACATTGCTAAGGGATACCAATATGTCAGATGATGAGTGATTCAGGATCACGTATTTATGATAGACTCTCATGTGGATATAGAGCGCCAGTATTGCACGAGGGACTAATATAACTTGAAATACTCACCTTGGTTAAACCACACTATAAATATCAGATCGAACATAGCAATGACGATAGGCAGAGCAGATATGCAGAAAAGGCCTCGCAACAGAATCAATAAAATAAATCAGTTATGTATGATACCTAATGTAAGATGGATAACTCAGTATTTCTGGCAGAAAACCGATAGTCTGCCCATTATTGCATTTTCTATTCAGGGCAACCTTACACAGAAACTAAACGTTCTCTAATCTCTCTTTATTTAACTGTAGGAACCTGGATATTACATTTTACAGAGACTTCACATTGACTGACTCTGTAAACCATGAAGAACACAAGAGAACAGAATTATTTTGCTACTCAACTAATGATCTTTCTGTCTCATCTCTTGGACCTCTTGTCCTCTTCCCCAGTCCTCTTCCCCAAATACTCTGTCTAGACTTATAACAGCAAGATGAAAGGTGTTGGAGGTCTTGGTGCTAAAAAGTGGACACCAGGGTACAAACGCAGAACAGCGACACAGGTCTCAGAAATAGGGACTGTCCCACCATAATTTAGGTAAGTTGAGAGGCCTGAGGGTGCATGAGTGTGTTGGTGATACAGGTGTGTTGTACGGAGGTATATATTATGAGCTTGCCATGTAGTGCATTATAGGTGAAAGTTGACTGTTGTGTGGCATATAATGTCTGGTTTCAAAGGAAATTGTAATTAAATTAATATGTAAAGCCCAGATACAAGCAGGACAGATGGTGCACCGAATGTGTCCAGAACATAAGCTCCCGTTGCGTTGTAGTCATTCACCTTACCTATAAGATTTGTTTAAAACAACAGTATTTGAGGAAATAGACACGGTAAAATAAAGTAAGTGCCTGAATAGATGGTAGAAGTTTTTTTTTAATATTGTTATTTTTTCCATAACTTTAAGAATTATTTTAAAATAAACTAGTATGAAATCTCAGGCATTATAAAAATACATTCTTTCATATCACCAAGCCCTAAGTGGGTGAATGTGTTATGGCAGGTGTTAAAGTGCCACACACTGTCTTAATAACTCATTCACATTTTATGACACCTTACATATTTTACAGAAATCACCAAGTCCCCATACCAATTATATGTCAACCTAAAACAAATGTGTTCATACATTTTAACACACATGTAAGGTAGATATAATTTTCATCCCAGTTTCTCAAGATTGCTGTTTCTCAAGATTTATTCATTTTTGTTTGAATAGGAAAACATATTTGTACAAAGTAAACGTGTTATTAACATCTCAGATGCCTTTCATGTGGAGCAAGGCTGTTGCTAGGAACGAGCAATAAACCCTTTTCTTGCAAAGCTCTCATAATAAATGATAAACTTATGTGGGTAAA